CCCCAAGGCGTCTTTTCTTGGTGCTTCCACCAAGGCTTCGGCGACTTTTTCGTCTGCCGTGTTTTCTAACTGGTGTGCTACAGCCAGTTTGATTTTATAATTTATGTCATCGTGGTCGACGACTGACATTGGGCCCATTCTTATGGTCCCAACGTTGACTTCCTCACCCTCTGAGTCAGGTGAGTATTGAGGTCCTTCGTATGGGTCCTCTACTTCGAAGCTTGATGCTTCGGAGTTACCAGAGTTGTTCTCTGGTTTCTCATCTGATGAGCTTTTTGACTCTTCATCTGTTGAGTTCGCGATTTCCATGGCAGCTATACGCCTTGGTTTTTCATCGCTCGTTATATTGTGTCTTGGGCAATCTTTCGTTTGCCCTATTTTGCCGCATTTGCCGCAAATTGGAACTGACTTTTGGTCAGTTTTCCTCGAGTTTTTTGAGGATGTATCCTCTTTCCATCTGGGTTTCAGCTCTTCCGCTTTCTTTCCTGATGGGAGGGCTTTGCCGTGGCTCGTTGTTGCCGTGGTGGTTGTTCGGGTATAATAACCTGATTTGTAGGCTGATGACATCTTCAGCCCGTCAATTATCTCGTCTACACAAGATATTGCTTTTAACATCTCCTCGTTTGAGGAGAAGTCTGCTCTGATTCTATCATGAGCAATCATTTCCCTCTTCCATTCGAGGGGAATGTAGTTTAAGAACCTGGCGTTAAAGGACGCCTGGTCTGGCGGCGTCACCATCTGGGACGCTGCTTTTGACAGTTCTAAGTAGAACTGTTTTAGGCCTTTTTCCGTTTCGTATTTGACGTTGCGGTATTTCTTGGTCGCGTTCAACGCGGCGGAGGCTTTGATGAAGGTTCTCATCAATATGTTGAGAACCTCGAGGAACATGCCCTCGTCTCCTCTGAGGAGAGTTTTGTCTCGGAGTCTAATTCCGAGGTCGAATGCGGGTCCCCCTAATCCACGAATCAAGCAGTCCAGGTGGACTTCGTCGAATTGGGGACCTTTGCATCCTCGCGAGGCGAGGAATCCCAGTAGTTCTGTGAACCACTGCCAGAACAATTCCATGTCGTTCTCCCCTGACCATTTCGTGTCAGGGAATGCCGGCCCATTCTTTAGGGCTTCTGGCTTCACTCCTTCTGGGTAGGGAGTGAGTATTCTCACTTCGGCCATTCTTATGGCCTTTTCATACCATTTCTCCAGGTACTCTTCTTGCTCCCCTGCCTTCGTGGGGTCGCTGTCCAATGGAGATCTCTCCTTTGGGGGGTTTTTGCTGGGGGAATCTTCCTCACAGCGTTTCTTTGGTTTCAGGCGAATTCGCCTGAAGTTGTATTTGTATTCTCTCCTTGTTTTGAGAGGGTGTGAATGAGTTACCTCTCTGTTCGAGAGGTCCGTCATAATTGGATGTTTGGCCGAACCTTTGGTACGTGCCAATTCTCCTTCTAATCTCTGAACGATGTCTTCTTTCGGCATCGTCTTCTCCTATCCTTGGGAGAAGGATCTCCTTAGCGTCTCTGTCGAGTCGCTGGTGATATTCCAGTGTGCTTTCACTGGTGGTTCTTTTCGTGAATTTTTCACGAGTTCTATTTATGTCCTGGACCGTGGTCCAGGGGTGTTTATTTGTTTCCTCACTTTTTTGTGAGGAGTTTATTTCCTTCAGCAAATCTGTTTGTTCGCTGATTTTTTCTGTCAACGCGTCGATTGCGTTGGCCATTCTTTCTAGAGTTATCTCTAGACGAGCCGTGCTATTATGGTTCGTTTCCTCGATCTTTTTCTGGATCGAGTTTATCGCGTTTATTATGCGCGATTCCTGGTTTTCCAAGAGGAAGTTTGGTTGGGCGAGCAGTGACTCTCCCCAGTTGACATTTCCGCTTCTGGGAGTTCCAGAATGGGTTCTTGGAGTTCCAGAATGGGTTCTTGGAGTGAACACTCCACGCTCGCTTTGTTTTGGCGAGGCCATTGCGGAGGGTGCTTCCCTTTCATAGAGGGGTCTGTTCGCTGGTTTCTCCTTATTTTTACGTAAGGCTTCCTCAGTGAACTCCCTCATTTCAGTTCGCCTCCTCCTCATTATCTCGGAGACCTCCTCCGAAGTTGGCGACCTTGCCTTGTCTGGCATGGTGCGTGGGAGTGTGAACAGCGGAGGCTCTTTTGGAGCTTCCACGCTCTGAGAGATCCTGCTCTCAGGGCGTATTTTCGCGCCTTCTCGGGCTTTCAGCCTGAGAAGAAGTTGATCTTCACTTTCCGTCCTCCATTCGGACGGAACCTGGAACAAGTCCAGTAGTTTTTCGGATAGCCGACGCGGGGGTTCTTCCCTTTGTTTCCCTTTGTCTGCCTTTAGGGCTTGACTTGGGGACGTGATTGGGAACTCCGGGGGATAGTGGGCCCTGGGGTTTCCTGCGGCTCTATCCGATCAGCTTTTTGGGCTGATCGTTCGGCGCTTGCGCGTTTTTCGCGCAAGTCGATTACCTTGTGAGGAGGTAAGGGATCTTCCCCAGCTTGGGTTAGATCGGTTTGTTGTGGAGTTCTGGGGGTATTTTGCCCCGCACTTACTCCACGTAAGTTTCTAAAGTCTTCAGGGACCAGCCCTGAAGTGGTTGCTGATTCCGGATCGCGTTGATCCTCGTCGTCATCTGACAACGGCTTTTGGTTTGAATCTCCCATGATGGGAGATTGCGGTTTCTTAATAAACTGCTCGCTTCTTTTTAACGTCGCTGCAGATGCGACCTTGCCCTTGCAGGCGTGTTTAGGCGCCATAAGCGCTTCCGAATCAGATGTTGAGATTTTGTAGTTGTGGGTTGTGTTGTAAAACACACCTCATGCACTTAAAAAAGTGTGAGGTCTTTGGGGTTGCTCAGCACACAAAGCCGTAAGTGATACAAGATGATGTATTTTACGGTGGTGTGTAAGCGGTTACCTGGAGGTTCCCGCTTGTCCACGTGACTATATCTATCTAGTTTACATGTGACTCGGGGTTCGGGGCTATTGCCCTGACAGTATGGGACAGTGGCGGAAGGTCACAACTTGGTGGAAGGTCAGCGGAAGAGGGCCAGAGGGAAGAGAGATGAAAGACGAAAGGGGAGAGGAGTGGAGGAGAGGAAAGGTGTCAGGTCCAAGGGTGAGTATTGGAGCGGACGGGTGAAGGGTAGGAGAATGATGGAAGGGTGGAGGTGTTGTGAGGAGGAAGAGGAGGAGTGGGAGGAAGAGTAGGAGGAGGGTGGTGAGAGGGGTGGTGTTCAGCCTGAGGTGAGTATCGGAGCAGGTGGAGATAGGACAGGAGAAGGATGGAGGAGTGGAGGTGGCATGAGGGGTGAGAGGAGGTGTGGTGTCAGGACCGAAGGTGAATATCGGAACGGACAGTGGTAGGGTAGGACTCCGGAGGTGGTGAAGATGGAGGTCCAGGAGTCGGTTCGGGATCGAGTATGTACAGATATGACACAAGGTGCAGGAGGTCAGAAGATGATTCTGACCATAGTGATGGGGAAATTGACATCGAAGAAGGTGTCAAGCTTGTTAGACCATGTCTAGAGCCTGCCCATGGTGATGGAATTGGGGAAATTAGCACAGCCGAGTATTATGCCCAAGAATGTGATCCCCAGTCCAAATAAACGATATTAAATTATGTCGCCACATGGGCAAGTGCACACCATTAGAAGTTCACTGGAAAGAGCCAGCGCAAATTAAACCTATCCCGAGTGGACCATTTGACATGTGTGAAGGTGAAATACTTGAAAAAGAGAGTCCGGATCATAGCCAATCAGCCAAGCATCCTCACTGTGTAGACAAGTACAACTCAGAGGAATATTGGAGGGCAATTCTTTCCTTCCTGACCTCAGGTATGCTGCTGTCAGATAAAAGCGAAGCAGCATGGCTACTTCATAAAGCCAAACAATTCCTATTGTATGAAGGAATTTTATGGAAAAGGAACCAAGATAAACCTATGCTACAGGTTGTACTTAGCAAGCCAATCCACCAGAGGATAGTTAGAGATGCCCATGATGGTAGTGGCCATCAAGGCAGGGATCCTACCTTCAGGAAAATTCGGTATTCCTATTGGTTTCCAAACATGTACCGATATGTTACAGAATATTGCCAGACATGTCACAAATGTCAGTTGCGCTCTACGCACAGAGATACAATCCCCATCCAGCCTCAATATGTGAGGACTCTACTTAGACAATTTGATGCAGATACTGTCGCAATGCCTAGAGGCAAAGGAGGCTACAAATACTTAGTGGACCTCATGGATAATCTCACTGGCTGGACCAAAGCCAAAGCATTGAAAAATATCAAATCGGAGGCCATCGCCAAATTTTTATTTGAAGTAAGGTGCCAATACGGATGCATAGTTCAACTTACAGTTGACAACAGCACGGAATTTTATGGTGCCATGCAAATACTTTTGGACAAATATAATGTACCAATTGTTAGAACTACTCCATATAATCCTGCAAAAATTGAACATGGCCATAGCATATGGATAGAGAGTATTTGGAAAGTCCTCAAGGGATGAACCAATGAGTGGCTGGATTGGGTCAGATATGCCTTATGGGCAGACTGCATCACCACGAAATGGAACACAGGTTACACACCTTACTACTTGTTGTATGGGCAACATCCTTTGATGCCATTTGACATAATGGACCATACATTTCAGTCATTGGATTGGCCACCAACTTAGCCAGCAAGAAGAATTTCTTGACTATGCAGCTAGAGCCAATTTCGAGTCCAGAAAAAGGGCAGCAGATGACTATAATCGTTGTCATGCCACCTGGATGAAAAAGGGCGAACATAAAAATGGGGAATTTGTCCTTGTCTCAAACGAGCAGACCAAACTCCCACATGATATGAAAGGGAAACCTTGTTGGTTTGGACCATATATTATTGTCTGATGCTTACAAAGTGGTGTCTTTGTCTTACAAGAATTAGATGGGACCGTTTTCAAATGGCCAGTTGCATGGAAAAGGATTAAGTCCTACCACTTCCGCAAAAATAAATATCCAGTTATGCATGAACCAGGGAAACTTGATGAGGATCAAGTTTCTGATGACAACAAGGTTAATCACCTCACTCTCGCTAGCCAAGTTAATCAACCAAGACTTCCTAGGCCCTGGGAATTACGGGGTAAGGAATTACAAGATTATTGGGAGGAGAAGCACTGATGCATGATTGCTTGTGCTAATAATCCACTCACAGAGTTTCCTCTGACCTGAGAGGAAGAGGAATTAGAAACTTTTATTAAGGAAGATTCCCAATACTGGGATTACTGTCATGAGACCTATCCGGATCAATATGGAGAGCTAGTTCAGTTCAAGACCTTGCCAACTGGCAAACCGATGCTGTTCCAGTGGTTGCCCTGGGGAACCAAAGGGAGGTTTGAGCCACAAACCTCATACCCAATTGTGGCAGAGTCCAGTGTTGATGCTGGAGAGGATAAAGTTCAGCTCAGTGCAGCACAAATAGATGTTATTAAGGCTGTCAAGGCTGAGTATGAGCTGGTGAATCCTTCTGCTGAGCCTAAGGCAACAATTGAAATTATCCAGAATGAAATTTCTGGGGAGGAAACAATGATGGGAAATATATGCATGTCTTAAATTGTGACATTGTCATATCCATACAATCCCGACCTCCGCTCCGGGCTCCCAGAACTCCGAACCTGACTTCCGGAGTCCTACTTCCCTTCCGTCACCTTCTCCTTGCCGACTCCCAAGAGGTTATCCCACCTCTGGCTCGGACACCACCTTCGGTCCGACTCTGGAACATTCCGGGTCCGACCCCAACCTCGACACCTTCCAGACGAGTACGCAAAACCTATGCTCCTGACTCCGGACCTCAGCTCCGGAATCCCGTTTGCATCTCTGTCTCCAGAACCTCTGGTCTTAGCTCTGACCTCGGACTTTGACCCCACCTCCGCTTATACCCATTGTATTGGTTAGCTCATTCCATTTAATTGCCTTTGCCAATATTCCGGAGTTTAACTTCCGAGTTCGGACTTTCCGGACTTATGTCGGACCTTGCAACTATTGCATTGTCGTATTCAATTCCGCTATTCTCCCTCATTCCTATTTGGGCTGCTGCTTCCTTTCTATTCAGTCAGCTAGCCATTCCCCACTCCCAACCTCCTTCCTTCCTCCTTGGGCCTTGGCCCTTCACTCCTCCTTTGGGAAACACCATTGAGTCAAACCCTTGACCCTCAGTGTTGTTCCTCTTTCCATCTCCCTTTGTCTCCTTTCGTCCTACCCTTGTTCCTTCTGATTCCGGACCCCTCCTTATATACAATGTACCTAGTAACTTGTAACCTCAGTCCGAAATCGACATGAATTCCCCCCAAGAGACTTTCCCTCTGCAAGATCCGAAATTAGGGACCCCTAGGACAACCAGCAATGGCACAGCACTCCGCCTGAGTCGCTGAGGCCGAGGTCCTTCCACGCTAAGTCTCCGATTCCACTCCGGAGTCGTCCGAATCCACCCGGTTCTAACAGACATGGCCTACTGTGCATCAGAAAATCCCCCTCAACGTTCAGACAGAATGGAGTACTCCTATCAGACCCATTGCAAAGACAGCTGTAAAAGAGATTGCCCAGAAACTCCAGTTTTCAGGAGAGGAAGAGGAGGCTTTCAAGGAGGGGCTCGCAGGGGAATGCCTTCCCAGTGGCCAAGCACTAATAAGCATCCCAGATCCCCCTCTCTGCCCCCAAAGAGAGCTAAAACTGACACTGACTGCTTCAAAGAATTAGAATCCAAAATGAAAGGCATGGAGGTGGCAATGAAATCCGAGCCCCCCTTGAGCTTTGATAGGTTGGATTGTACCAGAAGTGGCTTAGCGACTGGATACGGAACCTGTTATGGAAATGGGAATTTCCCATCTTAGACTCTTATGGGCTCTGTGCACTGCCATATCACATGATTTGTAAAATAATTAGTTCTATCGAATCAATAAACAACCAAAAACCCGCTGTGCTAACATCTGTTACAACTAATGTTAAACTGCCTGTGATAACATCTGTATAACCATATGAACCCCATTTCCCAACCTTTCCCTCTTCCTGCGCTAAGGACGGATGAAAATGGGTGCCTCCAGCCCCATTTTTGTAACAGAACCCCCTTGACATGGACCAGGAGTAAATCCTCCAAGTCCCGTAACAGAGAAGATGAATTTTTGGAGCACCACTCTGCCATGGCTTGTGGATAGCCTCATCGTACCCCATCCCCCTCACCTGAGCCAGAGCTTATGGAAGACCTCACTCAGATTTCTGAAAGATTAGACAGCCTCTTGGCAAATGGCCAAGTCTTCAGGAACTGTCAGGGGATGCATGTGCTCATACAGGTTGCTCCGATAACCTAGTTGTGATTAAAGCTGGGGGAAAGGAATGTCCCCATCTTAGAGTCAGCTATATACATGTAGAGTCCGGCAATAAGGAAACCAAACAGATTGCTGATAGAATCACATGATCATAGAATGTTCCAGAACAATGCCAGAGATGACCCAGGTGTCAGGGTACCGAGCTGCTCGGACTCTAAGTCGAGGGATCCCGAGCCTTCGCTGGAGCTGAGGCCGAGGGGGACAGGATCAGTCTCAATGGGGGAACCCGGCAAAGCGGATTGCGATAGGGATTCCAGCTGAGCAGCGAGGGGAAGTGAGAGAAGAAAGTTATCTTCCTCACTCGCTACCCAGGGAATGATAAAGTCAGTATACCCGGCGAAGCGGGGCCGCTCTGCAGAAGGAAATATAACAAATGTCTGTGCCAGTCCGGGGATGATGATCAGGCTGTGTGGGTATGGGGCAGGTGTGTCATCAGTTGTGTGTAAGCAGTCCGGACTTAACCGGGCTGTACTCTGACACCAGGCTACCGGGGCTTAGATAATCGGAGTAGACGGGAATTGCCAGCATACTTCCCATGCGCATATGTGCAGCTGGCATAGGGTCCAGGGTCATTGCTGATCCCTGACAGGAACATGTATGATGATAGGATGCGTACCATCCTCAGCATTGTAGAAGAGTTGCAAGGCCATCTTAAAGTCACTGAGCAACATATTGCCAGGCTAGATAAGACAGCCCTGCATGCCACTTCCCTAGTCAAGCACATGCATGAGCAATTCATGGAGATGGACTCTGCCCAATGGGCCACCATTGAGGACATTGTAACGAGTCTATCACCTAGACTTGAGACAGAGAGAAGGGGGAGGGTGGTAGTGTGCGCAGGTGTGGTTCGTGAGGTGGGTCTTGGTCCGTGGGTGCTACTGAGTCTGCAAAAACCTTGAACAAACACTCACCTACGTCTCTCTTGGACATCAAGGCTGAGTATTATGATGTGAGGGGTCTTAGATGTGAGCAACTAGCTCAGAGGGGGCGTTAGGGTCGTGGATGGCATCTTTGCCACTTGGATGCAACTTCTGCTTGTCCCTTCACGGGTCTATTCAATACTAACTTGTTATGTACAAGTTGTTATCTAGTTTATATATGTTTGAAATGAAATGAATGGACTGGGGGAATGTAAACGGGCCGTTAGGCAACCGTAAATGATGAATATCCAATTGGGAACAAAGAAACAATAAAAGAAATATGAATGAATGGGGAATATATCATAACGGGTCCGAATGGGAAATGTAAAAGTTAACTCTGCAACGCTTCGCCACAGCGCCCGCCTATCCTCCCGTCAGCAACCTCCTCGTCTCCAGACTTCCAACGAGCCCCTATTCATCCCATTTGGTGCAGTACTTCTTGAGATGTGGCCATTGACAGGTGCTGTCAAGACCACATGAGAGTTTACTCTGTGCTGAACTATCCGGGTATGGGATTGCCATTCTGGGAAATGCTCCAAGGGTGAAGAAGGGTGGTAGAGCACCACTATCGGGTGGAAAAACGGCTGGGTTGTGAGTGTGGGTATGGAGGTCTGGAGAGGGGGGTGAAATTGGCGGCATGGTTGGGCATGGGAATTTTGCTTGGGGTTGTCGGGAATGATGGGGAAAATAAGGAAAAATATGGAGTGAGTGTATGGAGTGTTGGATAGTGATATAGGTACATGGAGTTGTCCCCACAACAACGTCAAAGTGATTATCCTCACTCAAGACAGCCAGAACATTACCCTGAGAGACCTGGCCCATGTGTTTAATGCTATCTCTCTCATGATGGAAGAGGCCCTCGTTGAGAAGACTCCCACCAAAGACCATAGTGTCCAGAATTTTATGTTGGCACAGAAAGCTTTCTTGGACGCCTGGCACAGTGCCATCCACACTCCCAAACTGTCCACCTCCTGAGCAGCGATGAAGATGGATATGTCTGTTGAGGAAAAGGTTGAGACTCTGCAGAAGTCGGTTGACACCCTTACAGTGTTTGCACCACCCAAAGAGAAGCTTATATCCGAGAGTAAGGGCAAGAAGAGAGCTGTTGAGCCTTGCAAGAAAGTCCCTGATCAGTGTCAGGGCCCAGCCTCAGACTCGGAGGCTCCCTGACCTCAGCCCCCATCTGACCTGTCCTCACACTATGTGGGGCATGAGATGTATAGTAAAAGAAAGGGAATATATGCACTTGCCTATGTGGGGCATGAGATGAGAAGAAGGGTAAAGGTCTCATCTCCCTGCATGGTTGCTATATAAAGGAATGGGCACATGCCCACAACTATACAGCTCATAGAGTTGTGTAGTGTGACCCAGAGGGAACACCCAGGTGGCAGTGCCCAGTAAGCATGGGAATGTTCTGGGCGAGTTGCTTGGCCAGAATTGTGGCTGTGACCCGTGGGAACATTCTGCTTGCTCAGAAAGTTCCTACGCTATCCCATGTGCATGTGTACAACAACACACAAAGGCAACAATGAGGCAACAATCAAAGAATAAAGGGGGTAAAGTAGGTGGGGAGTCTGGGGCACCCTAAGGCAGGGTGCTGAACCCTGACAATCAGACCAACTCAGAGCCCAATGAGGGGCAAACCATGGCACTCGTCAGTGCTTCTTCAAGGTGTTAGACACTGGTCCAGGGTCGGCACTGAGGGTCACTGTTGCGGGCCACTATAGGCCATGATGGCCATGATGCTGCAAACAAGGCCCAAGGGTAGGGCATTTGGCCTCAGTGACTCTAAAGGAGTGCTGTGCCCCCTAGCTGTCTCTTGGCCCTCATTTCAGACTTACTGGGGTTGCCTTGCTGGGGTCAGGACTTAGGAGGTTGCGGTCAAATCGATATTAGAGCTAAGGTACAATTCTCATAATGAAGTGAGGTTGAATGTATTGATCAATACACATTAAATACATAAGCAATGCAGTTGTGTGAGCCATGGGAGCTGTTTCAATGTTAACAATTGTACTAGATAACCTATCATGGTGTAATAATAAAAGATGGAGAGGACGTTTGAGCAATTCAATTGCAAAAGACCCCATGAAAAACGGTTGAAACTGAGGGAGATACGAGTGGTGGCCCATGCCAGTGCAAGTTGTGTGCATGGGAAACAGTGTCCATGCCTCATACAGGCTGTTTGACGACTAAAGACAATAATGAGATATAAGGAGATTGTTTATACAAGCTCATTGAAAAACCTGACGAAAAACGAATGAGATTTGACAGAGATATGCATGTACATGTCTTTTGTGTGTGAAAACATGTGAAAATCAGTCTTACTGCCTCATAGACCCTCATTTGCGATTAACGCCAATAGAATAAGATAATGAGGGAGTTGTTACAAGTATGTACGAAAAAAAACGGTGAAAACGAATGATAATTGACAGAGATACGAATGTATATGCTTTTTTTTGTGAAAAATTGTGAAAAACCGTTCCACTGCCTCATGAACGCTTATTCGCGACTTGCACCAATAATAGAGAATAGCCAGGGGGTTGGTACGGGCACATTAAAAGAAACCCGACAAAAAACGAATCAGAATTGACAGAGATACTAATGTACATGCTTTATTTGTGGAAAAATCGGTCCACCTCCTCATACATGCTGATTCACGACTTGTACTAATAATACCACATGGAGAAAAGGTTAATACGGGCCCATTTCACAAAATCCGACGAGAAACGGTCAGGAACTGACAGAGATACGAATCCAGTGTCAGCTCCGCGCTTGATCTGTGCATGGGAAACGTTCTCCAGCACCTCATAGATGTTTTAAAAATATGTAAAAATGTTGGGTACTTGCGTTAACGCTATATAAAATAGTACGCAAAATTACAGGTTATTCGGTTCAGTATCAAGCAAGATATAATAGGTTCTGTCATTAATCTTCACTTGGACCCCTCAAAATCGCGCAATAATGAGCCAGGGCAATAATACGCGCCCGTTGAAACAAACCCGAAGAGAAACGAATAGGAACTGACAGATATACAAATGTAGTGTCCACTCCGCGCATGGTCTGTGCGTGGGAAACGTCTTCCAGTGCCTCATGAATGTCAAAGAAAAATATGAAGAAATGTTAAAAACTTGCGTTGATAATATATAAATCAGTGCGCAAATTTATAAAACATTTGGTCAAGTATCAAGCGAGATATAATAGATTACTATACAGTTTGTGAATGGGGAATGCGATAAATCGCCATAATCTCCTCAGGATCGCCGAATGACGAGTCGGACTAATAATACAACATGTAGAGGACATTGAGACGCACCCATGAAAAAAAAACCCAATGGGAAACGGATGAGAACTGAGAGAGATATGATAGATTTATGTGAAAATTATGTGTATATGTTCAGTTTGAGGAAATTCACGTGAGTAGTTGAGTTTGACCTCCCACAACTTTTTTCGTGCACAGACATGTGCAAAAAAGTACTAATACCCCCACTCAAAACTGGTTCAAACCCCCCCATGGGAGCAACTCTTTTTTGTTCCCATGTGACTTTGGCATGTAAAATAGATAGATAAATAGATAAAATAGGTAGATAGGTAAATAAAAGTAGATAAATAATCGTAAATAGTAATAAAATAATAACAATAAAATAAAAATAGTAGTTGTTTGTTGTTGTTGTATTAGTTTTTTTTTTTTTGTTGTTTTCGCTAATTAGTTATTAAATAATAATAATAATAGTAGTAGCAGTTTTGTTGTTGTATTAGTTATTCTTTTTTGCTGATTAGCATATACCATTAGGTAATAATAGTAATAGTGGTGTTATATTAGTTATGTTTTCGAAATTGGCATGTACTATAAACAGTAGTACTGTTCTCTCTTTTTCTTTGTATTTCGCTATTAGCATGTAAAATAAATGGGTAAATAAAATCGAATAATTAAAATGCAGAGCAGAATCAAATGAAGGGTTCCATATAAGGTAAAATTGGAGAAAATTCATGGCAACACAAGGTGTTCTGTATAAAGTAAAATCTGAAAAAATTGCGGCAATGTGAGACAACATTAAAAAAATCAAAGCACAATATTCTATATAAAATAAAATCCAGAAAATTCATGGCAACATGGGACAACATAGAATAAAAGATAGAAAAATAAAATGAAGGTGTGCTATATGAAATAAAATCCAAAAGAATTCATGGCAACATGGAGAACACTGTTTTATAAACTTATAAAGGAATAACAGACAAAACTTGATCAGTTGGGGTGGTGGGTTTGCAGAAAGGGCAAGGAAATAAAGGAAAACAACAAATAAAAGGGCCTCACTCCCAGTGCATTGCCAGGAGGGGGAAAGGCATTTCTCATTCCTGTGTATGATTGATGGGGCAGGGTTTGGGGCGCTGCCCCAAGGCTCTCCGCAGGAGTGGGGTTCGGGGCAAGGCCCTGATGGCCCTCTGCAGGAGCAGGGGTTCAAGGGGCTGGCCCCTTGGTGTAAAAAATAATCAAATATATCCAGGGGGTTCAGGGCACAGCCCCAGGCTCTCCACAGGAGTGGAGCTTGGGGCAACACCCCAATAGCTCTCCACAGGAGCAGGGGTTCAAGGGGCTGGCCCCTTGGTGCATAAATAATCACCTATTATTTCGTTAGCATATGGGGAACAATAATAACAAGGATGTTGTTGCATGGGGTCTGGGGCAATGCCCCAGGGGGGTTCGGGGCGCAGCCCTGATGCCCTCCGCAGGA